GGGGGGGGGGGGGCTGACAAGGAGCGGGGGTTCCTGCCTGGGGCTGATGCCCAGGACTGCCCTGCGCGCTCCGGGGCACCTGCCAGCATCCCCGCCACCCTCCATGCTCCTGGGACTCACTGGCAGTGACAAGCAGCCACGTCCCCAGGCATCGGAAATGTCCCCCCGGGGAGTGACCATCGTCCAGCTTGACAACCACCAGCTGGACAGAGCAGGATCCCATATGTCAGCACCAAAACGACCCAAAGAACGAAAGAGCAAGCAGGTGTGTTGGGTGAGTCCTCACGCTTACCTGACTGGCCCCACGCAGTGTGTCCGTGGCCTCACTCCTCACCCAGGTCCCCTCACGGGTGTCCGGGAACCAGGGGCAGCAGGAGGCGGGACGGAGCAGGCACCCGGCCCTCCATCTCAGCTCGCCCACCCCGCCTCCCGCACACGCCCCCCACTCTGGGCTCCGGCCTGCAGCCACCGCACAGCATCCTGGGACAGAAGGTGGCATCTCCGGTCCCCTCAGGAGGCGGCTCTGCCAGGCCCAGTGCCCGCCCTGCGGGTCCCTGTGAGGCAGCGCTGCCTCCCTCCAGAGCTCCGGCCAGGCCGTCTGGTGCGGCTTTTCCTGCCAGCAGCCGCCCCCAGTCCCCCCTCCCTGCTGGTTAAACCGAGCCGCAGGAGCAGCGCCCGCAGGACGGCATGAGGTCCCCGTGTCTGTGTGTTCGCTTTGGCCCCTGGCCAAGCCCCCAGCTGCCGGCAAAGGGGCCCCGTCTCACCCCTCCTCCCCTGGGATCCCAGCCTGTCCCCCTGATTCTGGCAGGTTCTGCTGATGGACGCGGGCTGCCCAGGTCCCTGCCGGCTCGGTCACAGACGGTCAGCGCCTCTGACCACAGAGGCTCAGCCGCGGCACCTGCCTCGGTGCCACCCAGGGGCACCCCCAGCTCTCAGCATCTGCCTCTCCCTGGCAGTCACTTTGGGCAACACCCCTCCCCCCCGAGTCCTCATCTGTGACATGGGGGGACGGGCACACCCCGCCCCCCCAGGGCTGCTGCCCTGAGAAGCCTGCAGAGGCGCCTTCCCCGTCCTTCCTGTCGGGTGTGGGGGCCGCTCTGAGAGGAGGGACGGCTACCACTGTCCCCCGCCCTGCGCTCAGTCACCTCCGATCACAGGGGACAAGGACCAGGGGAGCCGTGTCCTGCCCACTGCGCATCCTTCTCAGAAGCAGGTGAAGGGGCCCCGGGTTCAGGCCTGGACAGCGGGAGGCGTGACCCCACCTCCCAGGGCCCGGGTGGCATTCTCAGCCCCCCAAGGAGGCTGCAGGGCTACGCCTGGGCTTCACCCCAACAAAGCCATCAGGTCCCAGGAGCTCTCTGACCTGCATCTCACGGGTTAATTCTTCCCAGCTCATTGGAGAGAGTCCCAGGAGCAGCCAAGCCAACCAGGGCCCTGCCAGCTGTCTCCTGCCTTTTCCACCCGGTAAACAGCGTCCCAGCAGCCTGCAAGGAGGGGCAGGGAGCTTGGAGGAGAGTGTGTGTGTGTGAGGCATGTGCATGTGTGCACACATGTGCATGCGAGTCCATGTGTGTGCATGTATGGGTGTGCCCACACATGCATGTGTGTGGGGCATGTGCTTGTGCGCGTGCATGTGCATGTGTGTGTGCGCATGGTGTTCGTAGTTGTGTGTGTATACATGTGTGTGGGCGTGCATGTGCACTGTGTGTGTGTGCATGTGTAGGGGTGTGGAACACCTCTCCTCATGATGTCTGGTTAACTCCTTACATTGCAAGCCTCAGCTCAGACATGACCTGCCTCCCTCAAGGCCAGGGGGACCCTCCTGCCTGGGCCCAGGTGCCCTAGACCAGCAGTCGCCAACCTTTCGGACCTCACGCTCTAGACAAGGGCCTGGGGCGGAGCTGCGGGTGCTCCCTTTCTGCAGACGTGCAGTCCAGGTGGCCAGGGAGGGAGGGAGGGAGGGAGGGGGAGGGGGAAGGAGAGTGTAGGCTGTAGGGTAGGCCAGCACCCATCGGTAGGGAACTGGGGGACAGTCGGGGTGGCAGCCTCCTTCACCCCTCAGAGACTAGAAGTCTGAGACCCAGGCCAGCAGACTGGGTGTGCGTGAGGGTTTCCTGTGACCTCACCTGGCGGGAGGGGCTGGAGCTCTGGGGTTTTGTAAGGACACTGATGGGCTTCATGCCTCATCACCCACACAGGCCCCGCCTCCCGACACCGTCCCCTTGGGGTTGAGATTGAACACCTGAATTTGGGGGGACACATTCAGTCCATAGCTCCGTCCCAAACTCATCACACCTGTGGCTTTGACGTCACCTGTGCGGGCTGCTGCTCGGGCGCTGGGGGCCAACCCCACGTAAGGCCCTCTGGCATCTGAAAGGGGGAAGAAACCGGGCTGCGTGGACCCCCTGCTCAGACCTGGGTTGCTGGGTGTGAGGGGCAGAGCGGGCCTGGCCTCGCCCAGCACAGAACGGAACTCGACCAGGTCACAGCGACGGGTCTCCTCCGTGGACGGTCAGGTCTCGGAGCCGCCGGGCAGGGGCGTGAACGAGGCCCCGGCCGCTGTGGCTCTCGCTGCCCGGGAGGAGCCCGGCTCTGAGAGGCGGCGGGTGATGGAGGACGTTGCAGCCGGAGGGACTGCTGGTGGCACGGAGCGGGCAGGGCTCCCGACCCCTGGGCAGTGACCGTGGCTGCTCCTGACGCAGGCCTCCGCGTGGCAGGGAGGTTCCTGATTCTCACCCACTCAGCCCTGAGAAGCCTGTTACTTGAAACAAAATGAACTGATGAGCGGAGTGGATCCAGAGACGGGGAAGCAGGGAACAGAGTGCGGAATCTGGGACGGAAGGCCGGGGAGGAGAGTGGCTGGGAGGTGATCAACCAAAGACCTTGCAAGCAGATATGCATGGCCCCAGCAGACAGCAGACGGGGTGGCGAGGGCCTGGGGCCGGGGCCGGGGGCGGGCTGGAGGGGATCAATGGGAAAAAGAGGACTTATGTAATACTTTCAACAATGAAGATTTATTTAAAAAAAAATAAGGAATCTGTTATTGAGGCATCGCTGCCGACCAGCACGCCTTCCGAGCGAGTGGCTGCGGCCCCGCCAGGGCCCCTGAAACGCCCCATCTCATCGGGGCTCGTGCCCTCGAACTTGGCCCTGTTTTACATGCAGCCCATGCGCCTCGAGGCGTCACTCAGAACAAAGCTGCTGGGGACACGGGCCTCTCGGCTCCGGCTCGGCTCCTGCTTCAGATTCGGAGCACGTGAGCCCACGGTGACCGCCCGGTTCCCGCCGCCCGGCCCCTTCTGCTCCGTGTGCCATCGCCCTGTGTTTGGCGGGGGACAGGCGACTCACAGCGTTGTATTTTTAAATAAAAAGGCTTTATTACGAAAGGAGAGAGCAGCCGGCCGTGTAAGGCAGCTGGGGGCGAGTTACCGTCACCGAGGACGGGCAAGCACCTTGGAAAACATGTGACTCAGTCATGACGTGAGCGTCTGGTCCCCCGTGAAGTGCTGGGAGCTATTTGGGGGGCACCGCCTCCGTGTCGTCATCATCAGTGAGAGGAGTGCACCCTGACGCGCGTTCACGCCGAGCGCAGTGGCTACAGCTGCTCCTCGCACCAACGCTCCCCGCTGGCTGCGG